AGGAAAACTCAGAAAAAAGAACAAAGAAAAATGAAGAGACCCTGAGAGTTATGTGGGATACAATCAAAAGCAAAAATTTGCAAGTGATCGGAGTTCAAGAACAGAGGGAGAAAACAGAAAACACAGAGAGGATCATTGAAGAACTAACAGAAAACTTCCCTAACATCATAAAGATGAAAAGCTGACCATCCAAGAAGCTCAAGGAGCCCCATATAGGGTAGACCCCAAAAGAAAATCACCAAGGCATATGATAATCACACACAGTTCAATACTAGGCAACAATGAAAAAGAATGCTGAATCCATGAAACACAACATGGAGGAATCTGGAAGGCATTATGCTGAGTGAAATTAGTTGCAAAAGGACAAATATTGTATGAGACCACTGTTAGAAGAACTCAAGAAAAGGTTTAAACACAGAAGAAAACAGTCTTTGATGGTTATGAGGGTGGAGAGGGATATTCACTAACTAGACAGTAGATAAGAAATTTCTTAGGTGACAGGAAGGACAACACACAATACAGGGGAAGTCAGCACAACTGGACTAAACCAAAAGCTAAGAAGTTTCCTGTATACAACCAAACACTTTGAGGTATGGAGTAGCAGGGGCGGGGGTCTGGGGACCATGGTTTCAGGGGACATCCAGGTCAATTGGCATAACAAAGTTTATTAAGAAAATGTTCTGCATCTCATTTTGGTGAGTGGCATCTGGGGTCTTAAAAGCTATCGCTCGCCATCTAAGATGCATCAATTGGTCCCAACCCACCTGGAGCAAAGGAGAATGAAGAACAAAGACACAAGGAAAATATTAGCCCAAGAGACAGAAAGGCCCACATAAACCAGAGTCTCCATCAGCCTGAGACCAGAAGAACTAGATTGTACCCAGCTACCACCAGTGACTGCCTTGACAGGGAATGCAACAGAGAGTCCCTGATGAAGCAGGAGAAAAGTGGGGTGCAGAACTCAAATTCATGTAAAAAGATCAGACTTAATGGTCTGACTGAGACTGGAGGGACTGCAGAAGACATGGCCCCCAGACTCTTAGCCCAGAACTAAAACCATTCCCGAAGCCAACTTTTCAGACATAGATTAGACTGGACTATGAGACATAAAATGATACTCGTGAAGAGAGTGCTTCTTAGCTCAGGTAGATGCATGAGACTAAACGGGCAGCTCCTGTCCAGAGGCAAGATGAGAAGGCAAAAAGGGACAGGAGCTGGTTGAATTGACATGGGAAATCCGGGGTGGAAAGGAGGAGTGTGCTGTCACAGTATAGCGAGAGCAACTAGGGTCACATAATGATGTGTGCATAAATGTTTGTATGAGAGACTAACTTGAACTGTGTAAACTTTCAATTAAAGCAGAGTAAAACCAAAAAATAATGACCAGGATCACACAGCCAGCACATCGCACAGCCTGGAGTGGAACCCAAGCAGCTGGTGTGTTTAGTCACTGAGTGGTAACACCTCCACAGTCAGCCTCCTGGGACTCTCCAAGGAAGATGGCTTGGCACCACGGTCAGGATGGTGTCTGAGACCAGGCAGAGATGGGGAGTTTCCGTGCCCGGTCAGCCGACCTGCCCACCCTCACATATTGCACACGGACGGGCTGCAGTTGAGCACAGTGAAAGTAGAACAACACAAATGACTTAGAGGAGGAACTCCAGGATTCTGCGGGTGTGGGAGGGGTGGTACTGTGTGTGGTCATCATCGGAGGGGCTAGTGGTGTCTGGCTCTCGGCGTCACCGACGGGCATCTCTGGGTTTGGAGTCAGGCTGTGACTGGGGGACTCACATCCTTCCTTTTTTCTGCCCACCAGGGAAAACTGCTGGCTGATCTGGCCAAGCGCCTGGGCCTTCACTACGTGGTCTACAGTGGCCTGGAGAACATCAAGAAGCTGACGGGTGGGAAACTGGCCGCCGGCCACTTTGATGGCAAAGGCGAGGTGGAGGAATACTTCCGGGACATCGGCGTTCCCATGACTAGCGTGCGGCTGCCCTGCTACTTCGAGAACCTCTTATCCTACTTCCTGCCCCAGAAAGCCCCAGATGGAAAGAGCTACTTGCTGAGTGAGTGCCCCTCCTGGCCCGTCTGTGCTTGCTGACCTGGTAAGGCAGAGTTCCTCTCTTGCGACGCTGCAGGCGTGGCATAAAGTACGAGGTCGTTGGAGGTTCTGTGTTCAAGCCCCGGCCTCACGTTAGGTCTGTGACTCTGAGCAAGTGATTTAAGCTCTCTGGGCCTCTGCTTCCTTTTCTGTGAAATGGGCATAACGGGGTGTTCACACAGGCTTGATGAGAACATTGGCTTTGATGGCGGGTCTGCCATCCTCTGTCAGTTGCAGAGCTTTACAGAAATCAGCACAGTTCCTGTTACTTCAAGGAGCCCTGGTAGCATAGTGGGTTAAGCACGTGGCTGCTAACCAGAAAGTCAGTAGTTCCAACCCACTAGCCACACCTTGGGAGAAAGATGTGACAGTCTGCTTCCGTAAAGATTAAGCCTTGGAAACCCTATGGCCCAGCTCTACCCTGTCCTATAGGGTCACTATGAGTGGGAATCGACTCTATGGCGATGGGTTGTTACTTCTTCAAAAAGATTTGAAGACGTGTTCAGTTGTAGATTTCACAAGGTAGAAAAGCTCGCTCTTCTCAGCGCACAGATCTGTAAACGGCCTGAATGCGTAGCCCCCAGCTTGAAAGGAACCTTAGAAAGCTTGTCTCTCGCTGGCCGGCTCAGTGGACTAGAGCGAGACGCTCCTAAGAACGAGGTGGAGGGGTCTGTGCGCTTGTCCACCCACACCGGGCACCGCATATACACGGCTCACTCTCACACGAGGGCAAGCCAGCGGTTGCCAGCGAGCCCAGGGAGAGTCCTGCCACCCAGTGAGCAGAGCCTGGTCCTAGTGATAGCACATGGGCACTGCCCTTCAGAGTTTGCAACGCCGGTTGAGTCTCTGAGTTGGTGTTCCATCCTCAAAGCTCCCTGGTCGATCCCAACGGGGAGCCACAGTGACCCCTTTTATCGGGGAGGCAGTGGAAGACCAGAGGTACCCTAGCGTCTCATTTGGCCTCTTTCATGACACTCCTTTGCTTCTGCCTCAGCTACAGAACCACAGCTTGGAATGCAAAGTCGTTCCTTGTCAGGCACCTGCCAGGCCCTGCTCAGGCCAGGCCCTGGCACTTGGCTCATGAAACATTCCTGTTGGTGGAGTTGGGGCTTGGGGAATGTGTCCCCAGGTTTCCTGCCTTCAGGCATTCAGGCCATGACAAGGTGTGCCAGGGTGATGTCCTATGATCCAGAGGGCCACAGGAACAGCCACATCCTCGGTGGCAGCTTTCAAATCCTTTTCCTGCTCCTTCTCCTTAGTCCCTCTGCTCAGCCCTGAGAGAGGTGGCTGTCAAGGGCTCGTATGCCCATTGTAAGGACGTAGTAACTAAGTCTCAGCATGTTTACGCGACATGCACAAGGTGGCAGAGCTGGGAGGTGATAGAGTGCGGACTGCACTCCAGCGTCCTGGCTCTTCATTCTGTTTCTCCCACTCTGCCGCCAGCATCAATAGGTGTTCTCAGCTGTGCTCAGGTGCCGACGTGGGGAGACGTCCAGTTGATTGCCTGGCGGGAAGAAGGCATCATACATGCCAGCGTCTGTCGCACAGGGCATGCACCAACACGTCTCCTTTCCCCTCACAGGCCTGCCCATGGGCGACATCCCCATGGACGGGATGGCTGTGGCAGACCTGGGTCCAGTGGTGCTTAGCCTGCTGAAGGCGCCAGAAGAGTATGTCGGACAAAACCTGGGGCTCAGCACCTGCAGGCACACGGTGGGGGAGTATACCACCCTCCTCACCAAGCATACTGGCCATGCTGTGCACGACGCCAAGGTGGGCACCTCCCTCCCCTGAGGGTGGTGAGGTCCCAGCTCCTGCCAAGGGACTCGAGCGGCCTCAGCCAGCTGTTTCTAACTCCCAAAGGGGTTTTTTGGGGTGCTGGGGAGGAGTGTCTCTCTGAAGAGGGTCGCTCTAAGTTCCTCATGATGGCTAACATTTATGCCGTGCTGTTCTTGGGAGCTGAGTGGGGCCGCAGGGGGAAATTCCTGGCTGAAGCGTTCTGATGGAGTGGAGAAAGGTTTCCAGGAAGAGGGGACAGTAGGAGCCAAGGCAAAGAGGGTGAACATGCAGGAGCTGCTGGGCTCCTCTGTGGGATGTGACTGGAGGGAGGGAAGGATCCTGACCCCTGCCCCCCACCTGACCCCCTGGACTGGCTGGAGTAGGCAGGAAGCCCACTGTGTCCTCTTCTCTCCTGCCCACACTGCCTCTGGGCTCCCCCACACCTCGTTTCTAACATTTGTAGTTCCTGTTATGACAGGAAGACACGCTCATTAAAATCACTCCTCCAGACCCCAGCTGTGCAGTAATGGGGAGGAGCAGTGGCAGGGAGTGGTTAGAGCAGATCAGACTCCCATACTGAGATCCTAGGCCCAGCCCTTCACACCCAACCTGTGTGTGATCTTGGGCACGTTCCCTGACTCCTCTCTGCCTCAGTTCCCTCATCTGTAAAGTGGGTATATTCACAGTACCCACCTCTGAGGGTCGTGGTGAGGGTTAAATGAAATACTCAGTGTAAAAGCTTTCTTAGCACAATGCCTAGCACACTGTAATAAATGGTCATGTAATGCTATTAAAAAAAAAAAGACAGGCCCAAGCCTGGCCATGGAGGGGTTGAAATATGAGGCTGAGCCAAGATTCACTTCGGCAGGGAAAGGGGGACAGCTTTGGTTTAAGAGCAAGATGATGTGAGCAGATTTCTGATTTGCCAGGGACTGAGAAACGTTCCTCCTGATGATCTTGAAAGAACAGTATGAAGTGATGTAGAATGTGTTGGCAGCTCACCAAGAACAGTGGTTTCCATACTTATGTCTTTTTAGAACAGTTTTCAAACAAGCTGTTGATACGAATATTACAGGTGTCCGAGATGCGAACAGTGGGGCTCTGGTGGCAGCAGGTCAGGGGGTTCTCAGCCACTCAACCTCCCCCAGCTGCCTCAGGGGGGCTCTGTATGCTGACCGAGGTTAACAGGCTCCCCTCTGCTTCCAGACGACTCCAGAGGAATATGAGAAGCTTGGCTTCCCTGGGGCCCAGGAGCTGGCCAACATGTTCCGTTTCTATGCCATGAAACCCGACCGCAACATCGAATTGACCCTGAAACTCAACCCCAAGGCCAGGACCCTGGACCAGTGGCTGGAGCAGCACAAGGGGGACTTTGCCCACCTGTGACTCTGCCTGCCTCTCGAACCTGAGTCTGTGGGGAAGGGAGGCACGGGGTCATGATTATCCTTTTTTGTGTTAAAAAAAATTTTTTTTTTGAATAAAGGCCATTGTTCTTGCAGATGGTTTCCAAAAGAAAGGGGCTTTGTTTCTGGGATTTGGGCTAGAGTGGCAGCTGCTGGGGTGCCGACGGCGTTAACGTGATTGGGTTGCCTCCCTTCCTCGCAGCAAAGGGGCTGGGCAGGTGGCCTGTGAAGACGCGCATCCTAAGTGCTCTGGAGTAAGTTTAGTCACATAGATGTGATGATGACTCTGATGGCAGCCCAGAGAATCCATTTCCACTACCCTGGAAATTAACCTACAGACTGGGTGCTGGATGTACCCCGACAGCGGCGGGGCTCTGCCCAGCCACTGGGGAAATGCCTCTGACAGCCAGCACACACATCTCCAGAGAGCTAGGAAGGCTGTGCACACCCAGCCTCAGCCCATGTCTGTCCTCACCCTCCTATAGGGTGGAGTCCAGGTGCAGCCCAGGGTGTAGGTGACCTTCACAATGAGAAGAAAAGGCATAAGGCAGAGCTGGGACCCCACATCACTGTAAGAAAGGGGGTGTTGCTTGTGGCCAGGGCGTGACAGGGAATAGCAGCCCTTCCCGTTTGCAGTGTGGCACAGGTGGTGGAATGTCCGAAGGGTCCAACTCTTAACTCCCAGTCACTTTGGAGATGGCAATGGGGCCCAGGCTGCCCGCGCCATTGGCCGAGACTCTGTGCCGACTTCTTTCTCTGGGTGTGTGGCTCGGAAACTCGTGTGACCACCACCACGGCTACTGACTGATCCACTGATTATGGAACCAGTATTTCTTCAAGCACTTACTGTATGCTGGGCTCTAAAATATTATTAACAAAAATATTGAGCTTAGTTGAGTGGCAGTCAGATAAATAATTACAAACCGACACAAGAACTGCAAAGACGAGGAGTCGGGTGAACAACGGTGTCGGAGGCACCTATCGTGTGGCCAGAAGAGCCTCTGAGGGGTAGCACTTACAATGAAATCTGAGGGGCGGGAAGGAAGAGCTGGGGCCAGGTGGGTCTCTAGGTGCACTTGGGTTAGGAAGAGAGGGCAGCTGTGTCCTGTGTGATGCCAAAACCCCCCGAGCCTGTGGGTGGGGCAGGTGCCAGCACTCGTACTCACTGTGACAAGGTCCTTGAGGTACCACACGTGTGCGCTGCCTGCTGGGGCCTGAGTCAGTCCTGCCCGAGCTGTCACAGCCTCCTGCTCTCAGGCTGAAGTCCAGCTCCCAAGTGGTCTCGTCTGCACCACGACTACCCTCCCTCAGTCCACCTCCCTGATACTTCAGCAAACGCTCAGTACTGTCTCTCTCCCTACTCTCAACCCCCAAAGGCTCAGGGGACCTCCCTACTCTCAATCCCCAAAGGCTTGGGGACTAGAGATACTTTTTGTAGTTTTCAATACCTAATGTCACATCCCGGCCCCCACTCACAGGTGTCCAAGAAGACTGGTGCCAGCTGCCCCCCACCCCGCCCCACCTTGCCAGCTGTGGAAGAAACAGATCCCAGCCTTGAGGTGGCCCTCAGTGCCACAGAAGCTACACTGCCACCTTCTGGCCATGTGAGGAAAGGCACTCCAGGATACAATGGTGTCTCACCAGCAAGAAAATCCACCTTTCTCCTTTCAAGTCCTTCTCTAGACTTCTGCTTTTGAAAGTTACGACATGAATGAGATTAGGTTGACTTCTTCAGTTATAAAACCTAAGAGTTCGTGAGCGAGGGACAGTCTGGCTCCACACTGCTGAATGAAAGTGTCTGAAAGCAGCAGGATGTGAGTGTTGAGCCTCTTTCTTGCCCATCAGCTCTTTCCCAGTCTCTTCACCAACCCAGCCAATGCGCCCGCCTCCCCATCTGCTGGGCCCAGGCGACCGGCAAAGTCTGAACTGTACGCTCAGGGCCCACCCCAACTGGGCCAGGCACCGGGGCTACTGTGAGAAACAGTCTCTGCTGGAGCCAACATTTCCATGTAAAAAACCGCAAACACTCCGCTTGTAATGGAGGGGAATATCCAGTGAGGGAGGAAGCGGTGCGTAGGGGCCTAACGAGGAGGCTGCACCTCTCACAGCACACACACGCTCAAGAGGAAACGCACGAGTGGGGTGAGCACTGTGGGACTCAGACCTCCATCAGTGTGCGGGCTCAGCGGGGCATGCCGAGTGATGAGGCAGACTCGTTCGCTCTCTGGCTGCCCGAGGAAGGCAGAGATGACCCCAGCAGCAGAGGCTGGGTGGCCCCATCACAAGTGAACATCAGTCATCAGGCGAAGTCACCTGCAGAAGGTGTCTGGACTCTCGCAAGGAAGAAATGACCACAATTTAGGTTTTAAATATCTTTTTGCAGTAGATAATCTTATTTACATTGATAGAGATTCATTTTACATTCTTAAATCGGACACTAGTAGATGCTTTATTTTAGTAAATTATAGAGGAAGAAAAACTAAACTATTGAGAAATGTTCTTCATTAACCTGTCTGACTATAGTTGGGAGATCTGAGACACATGGAAGCTGTGACATCCAACAAAGCCGTCGTGGGAGCCTCGGCCTGCCTAGACTGCTTTTCTGTTTCGAACAAACATTTTTACAGGAACAGACAGTGGTTCTTTGCACTGAATATTTAAAGACACTCCTGAAAGTAAATGTCAACAGTGTAAGTGGTGGGACAAGACCTCGGCTGGCAGAGGTGGCTCAGTGTTAATGAGGCCGCTGAACTTGGCCCCAGAACAGGGCTGCGGGCAGCAGACTGCGGCGGACTGTGGCTGAGCAGAGGGCCAGGCCCCCATGCACTCTTGTCCTAAAGCAGCAGAAGTCGACTTTCAGGACAGGACATCATGGGCAGGTGGGGAGGAAGGCTGTCTGTCCTGACAGAGACCACCACCCACATGGGCGGGAAGCTAGATCTCCAGGACCCTCTGGGCCTTCCTGTGTGCCTCCCCCAGGCCCCTAGAGCCCCCACGTTCAAGCTGCTTGGTACCTTTGGGAATTTTGTGAGTGATGCCCAGCAGAGCCTGTGGGCAGGGGTGCAAGGCTGGGGGCATGCAGGGCAGGTTCCAGGGAAGGCAGCCTGTCGGGGGAGACTCATTCGGGGGACTCCTCAGAAGTTTGTGAAGGAAAAACCAATCAACTCACGACTCGGCGCAGCTCAGGGTTCATCTTTCAGCTGAACATGGCCTTTAATTCTTTAGCCAAGAACTCCACCACATCCCCTCCCAGAGTTGTAGCTCTGCCACAAGTGTCCATCTGTCTTACTCTGCCCTGAACCAGAAGCCAAGCCACCAACCGTGGACAGGAAACCTTACAGGTTCTATATCTTACGGCCTGGGGGCCATCCACGGAGCCCCTTTCCAGGGAGAGGTGCTGTTGTGGTCTTGCTGTTGCTGAGGTGGTCGGGGCCTCTGCAGGCAGGGGCTCCAGCTCTGTGCTGAGCCTCCTGCCGTCGAGGCCGTGAGGAGTGGCGGCTGCTTCCAGACTAGTTTCCAGTGGACCGTTTTCCTGGGCAGAGGAGACAAGCGGTTACGTTTCACTTCGCATCATGACAGAGCACGTCCCTGTGGGTGAGCTTTGGCTAATCCCTGAGAGCAGCTGTGCAAGAAAACATCAATCACTCCGACCACCAGGGACACGCAGGAAGGGAACGTGGGTCCCAGATGCCGCAGGGAGCAGGTACTGCCCTGGGCAGCGGCCCCGACGCTTACACAGCCCGCACTCGGGGGACCAACGGGAGACTAAGGCAGTCTGAGTTCTAGGCCTGGCTCTGCTGCGCTTTGCCCTCTGTGACCATGGGCAGCCTGGCTCCATCAGTGCAGGGGCAGCAGCCCTCAGAGCTGGGGCAGGGTGGCCATAAGGCCGTCTGCCCAAACGCAGCCTCTCCAGCAAGTGCAAACCGCGAAATGCAGGCAGCTGGGGTCTGGTTCAGCCCTGAAATACCGGCTGCCCCAGCCTCGATTCTCCAAATGCAAATGCACCAAAAGGTGAGAGGCATGGTCCCAAGGGAGCAGCCTTAGCGCTCTTCAGACAGCACGGCTTCCAGCTCCCGGAGGGGCCGTCAGTGGTCACGGTCAGAGCACAGGGGTCATTCAGGGGAAACAGGAAAACAAAGAAAACAAAACCTCAAGCGTTTTCCTACCTCGGCTGGGCTATCAGGAGGTAAACATTTTCTTAAGTTTGGAAAGGAATCCCTCCTTGTCCTCCCCAGCCTCGCGCCTAGCCTCGCCTCCTGCAGAGCTATCCATGGTGCTGCCACCTGGGCACAAACAGCAGAGAGAACCGGGGTCAGGGGTACAGGCTTCCACGCAGCACACCCAGCCCCAACTGCCCCGCTGGGCCTCGCAGAGCCTGGCTCCCGGGGCACAGCACTGCCCCCTCTGAGCCTCGCAGAGCCTCGCCCCCGGGGCACAGCAATGCCCCCACTGACCCTCGCAGAGCCTGGCCCCCAGGGCACAGCACTGCCCTCTCAGAGCCTCACAGAGCCTCGCCCCCGGGGCACAGCAATGCCCCCTCCGAGCCTCGCAGAGTCTCGCCCCCGGGGCACAGCAATGCCCTCTCCGAGCCTCGCAGAGCCTGGCCCCCGGGGCACAGCACTGCCCCCTTGCGAGCCTCGCAGAGCCTGGCTCCTGGGGCACAGCACCCAAGAAGCCACCAAGTGCCACCCCAACAACGGAGGGGACCATCTCAAATCAGCAGAGGCTCCGTGGCTTGTCAGATGGCTGAGGCAGAGAGGCCACTCAGAGCACAGGCTTACCCCAGCTGCTCCTCCCTGCAGACCAGCACAGAGGAACAAACCAGACACCAACCACAACCAGCTGGCTCCAGTCTCAACAAGAGTCACAAGATAGAGCTGGGAGCCGGAGGCCTTACTGCCGACCACACAGCTTACACCGCTAGCTCATTCAGTCCTTAGGATAACCTTACTGGTGAGGTTTACACATGAGAAAAATGGAGGCACAAAGAGAGGTTAGGTGGTTTCTCCGAGGTCACAGAGCCAATAAGGTAGAAGCAGAATGCACATAAAGAGCCCTGGTGTTGCAGTGGTTAAGCACTGGGGGGCTATGTGAAAGGTTGGCAGTTGGAACCCACTAGCCGCTCCATGGAGAAAAGACCTGGAGATCTGCTGCTGTAAAGATGACAGCCTAGAAAACCCTATGGGCAGTTCTACTCTGTCATGTGGGGTGGCTGTGGGTTGGAATCAACTTGATGGCATGCAACAACAGAAGACACGTGGGGTCACCCTGCGTTGGAATCTACTCAACAGCAACTGGTAGGAAGTGAGTTCAAATTCAAGCAGTCTGACTCCTAAGCTGAGCTCTTAAGCACCGTGCTACGGGCTCTAGGACGGTAAGTGATGCGAGCCGAGAGGAGAGCCCATCTCTCGGCCAGCCAACCGGATTGCACTCTCCACCCGTGTCCGTGTCTCCAGGAAACCAGCAAGGGCCGCGGGATACCCAAACCCTAGCACACGTGCACTTCTCACCTACAACTCAGAGGAACTACTGGGCCTGACCCAGCATGCTTTTCCCGCCAACGGCATCCGACCCCAGCGCTCCTGATAAAGGAAGCAGCACAACACACAGGAGCCCTGGTGGCACAATGGTTAAACAGCTTGGCTGCTAACCAAAAGATCGGCGGTTCGAGCCCACTAGCAGCTCCGTGGGAGAAAAGAGCTTGCGATCTGTTCCTGTAAAGATTAAAAGCACACCAAACCCACTGCTGTCAAGTCAACTCCGACTCACAGTGAGCTGACAAGACGGAGCACAACTGCCCCACCGAGTTTCCAAGGTGGCAGTCTTTATGAAAGCAGACTGCTACATCTTTCTCCCATGGAGCACCAAGTGGGTTTGAACCTCTGATCTTTTTGTTAGCAGCCGAGCACTTAACCACTGTGCCACCAGGGTTCCTTCCTGGAAAATCGTATGGTGCAGTTCTGCTCTGTCCTACAGGATCGCTATGAGCTGGAATTGACTGGAAGCAGACAACAAAAAATGAGACAACAAAATGCCAAGCACAGTGTACACCAGAGTCAAAAAAAGGCACTGCCTCCAACATGTCAGTCTAAATAAGACACTTTTGTCAGGGAGTAGCCCCCCAGCAGGGGCAAGGAGGGGCCGTCCTGGGAGCAGCACAACCAGGGCAGGGGTCATGCTAACCTTCTGGACCTGGCCTGCTCTCGGAGCTCAGGTACGCTCTCAGAGAAGTGACGGAGACCTCCAGCGAGTGAGTGTTAAATAAGCTCTGAGCTGTCATGCCACAGGGTGGCCTCCACATTTGGGGCTCTACAGATGAGGGCCAGGCACAGACACCCAGCAGAAGTGGTGTCCCAGCCCACGAGGTCAGAGGCCCGCGAGGTCAGAGGCCAGGTGTCTCCTCAGTCCTCTGTGGCCCTGCTTCTTACCTAAAGCCTTAAATAGCAAAACAAAAGGGCTTCCTAACACGAGGGACTCCACAAACGAGAACCTTCCAGCCACCCCTGGGCCTCCCAGGACAAGGGAGAGTATGAGCACCGAATCTGGTTCTGGCCTCTGTAAGGGGGGGCCGCTCTTGGTGCCTCTGTGCGTCCATGTGTGTGTGCGTGTGTGCACACGTGTCACACTAGCTAAGTTACCATTAATGGAGCTTTAATGGTATGGTGCCAGGTATGGTGTGAAATGCTTCACCTATGTGATCTCATGTAATTGAGTAAAAACCCTAGAAGTAGGCAAGGATGCTGTGTCTCTGTGCATCCCTTCCAGAACTTGGTAAATTCTAAGTGAACATCTGTCTGAATGACACGAGGCCAAAAGGCCTACAGGATCTGACTTCTGAGGACGGGATCCATCCCACAGGGGAGGTGCAGGTCTACACTCGCAGCCTCTGCTCACTGAGGTGTCTGCACATGCACAGGTTCATCCAGCAGGGTCCTGGACTGCCTCCCACTCTACTTAAGTGTCTTCTCTCCCATCTTCCTCATACCTCCGCCCTGCGTGAAGGGGATACCTGGTCGGCTCTACTGGCCACAGCAGAGCAGACAAACAGCAGGTGCAACCCCAAACCACTTGATGTTGCGTTCTGGTGCACGTGTCTACACTCATGGCCAAATACCTGTAGGTTTATGTTGTCATGAGAATCCATGATGGTCCAGAAATAAAAACAATGAGCCACGCCGTTACCTAACTCGAAAGGTGAGGAAATTCCCTGAAGTCTTCTTCAAACCAAACAATAGTTTAGCTTCACTAGTGAAAAATGTCTGCCTCGAGCATTGTGCTCTTTTAAGAACTATCTATCTGGGATCAAACTGACAACAGCAACTCGAAAGATTAGACAGGAAACTTAGGGGGCTGTGAGTTTATGCTAATGTGGGAGGAACAACTCAGAAAAGGAGGGTGAGAAAGGTTGCCCAACTCGAACGTAATCAATGTTACTGAACTGTACAGGTAGAAACTGTTGAACGGCCATATGTTCTGCTGTGTATATTCTCAACAACAACAAAAAAATAAAATAAAAAAAGGTGTGGAAGGACAGGCAGCAACCTCAAACTGCCCCCAGCTTCTTGTGTCTTCTTGCAGAAGACATACCCGCCTCACCCTGGAATGCTCAGAGTCCCCAAGCATGCTGGATCACACCTCCCCACAGGGAAAGAGCGTAGGATCAGCTAATAAGGTTTTCAGCTGCTGCATTTGGGAACAAAGATAAACAGGAGATTCTCAATCTATCAAAACTTTAGATCAGTTGCCTAAGGAATTGTCTACCTTAGGAATGTTCTCCCTGTGTCACCCTCTCGAAATTGGAAGCCAGTCTGCAGGGACACCTAGGAAGCAATCTGTAGCTGCAACGGTTCTCGTCAGTGTCTAATGACTCTAACTCAGGTGCACTTACAAGGCTATTAAAAATGACACGCGTACACCTTTATCCTAAGAACCACTGATAAATGAATGCAAACTGCGAGTTAGTAAGTTTTGCTGAATGCTTGAAATAAAAGAAATCCAGCATCCACCTAAGTAAATACAAGTCACTGTTAGTGAGGCTGGAATGTTTTCATACGTGGATTGCAAAAGTAACTTTCTTCAAGGCATAAGACAGGCTTCACCACATCTAGGCAACAGACTGACAACATGCTCCTTGAAGCCAATTCTAAGATTCTTAAATGTGTTTTACAAATTCTGACTGGGAGTTAAAATTCCCACTGGAATGCAACCATGAGATGATGATGGATTAGTGAGGGAATGAAACATAATTTGGTATCCTGTTCCACTTTTTAAGCAAGGTTTCAAAAACGCATCCAGTGCGTATGCTAAGGTTAAGCCACACTCAGGCACGATGGCTGGAGGAGTTTAAACGGAAGGACTGGCAAAGCACCTGGCCCACAGGAGACTCCCCTAAATCTGGCTAAGTGATGGGGCCATCAGGACAAGGAGCCAAGACAGTCCTAGGGTTCTGAGGACACTCATGAACTGACTGCAGGATCAACCCTCAAGGTAAGTGCCAACTTTCAGATACAGTGACAAACGCCACATCTCCCACTCAGGGCTCAGCATTAGCTGACCTGGAGTTCCACAGAGAGCTGTCTACAGAACCAATCCCACATTACAGGAGTGTAGGGATATTTGGGCTTCAGGGAGGAAAAAAAAGAAAAAGAAGCTAGAAGTGCCCAGTTAGTTACCTGGGATGTCTGGGCGCTATTCACAACTATTACCAGTTCTTTGTTTAGTTCAAGAAACCTAACAGTGAAAAAACAAAACAAAACTACACCAAACCACTCAAACACACAGCCATCCAGCTGTCTGCCCACAGACAGGATTTGGGGGACGGCTTCTTCACAGGGGACTTCCGGTGCCCTGGACTCAGCAGGTACTCAGTGCGAGTCTGTGCAGAGGCTGCTGCTGCAGAGACCCTCCCCGACACCTGGGGAGCTCCGTGGCCACGCCGTCCCTTCCCTGGGGAGCTCACCCTGCTCACAACGACCTATCTAAGGCCAGGCGGTTCTCCCCCACTGCAGAGCAGCACCCAGGACCCAGAAAAACCAGAATGAGGCAACCAGGATGAAACATGTTGCTCAGCTGAAGCCAACTGCTCTGCTGGCACAGTCTGTGCTGGACTAGGTCCCAACAGACAGCGGCTTCTCGGCAGGGCCCCACCTGCCCCCACTGGGAGAGGAGCCACAGTGGTGATTTCCATCATCAAAGCATCTGCCAATTTGCAAATGGTTTTCCATCAAATCACTAATATTTAACTACGCTCTGGCGACAGAGCAGGACACTGGCGCTCAGAATAAAGAACGCGCTCGTTCATTGCCAGGGAGCTCAAAGTGCCAGCCGCCCCGAACGTGCAGAGCTGGAGTCCCATGATGACGACTGCTGGCCGCTGCAGACGCTCACGAAGCACTCGGAGTCCTGGGCAAAGGGTCTGCGGTATAATGTGGCAGTCCTTTCAGCCATCTCTGCCTTAAGCTTCGGCAGGAACTCCCCTGTCGGGCGTGCCCAAGGTCACATGGCAAGTGGCAGAACCAAGGATAGAACTCAGAACACCAGCTCCCCCGGATGCCCCGCTGCCACCTGGCAGGAAAGGTCCTGGTGCTTGTCCTCGACATAGCCACACGCACACAGAAAGAAAGAAAGAAAGGAAGAGCGCTTTTCCTCTGGAAGCCCAGGCTGCAGCTATTGCTAGCCCAGAGCTCCCCTCTTTCAACAGCGCTTAGTGGAGGGTTAAGACCCCAGAGTGGAAAACCCCCAGCAGGCCTCTCCGAATCCTTCCATCCTCCGGGGGACTCAGGGCTGCCACGTGCCGCTCTGTCATCTCTACGGTACAGGCCGCACTTTGCAGGAAAGGCTTACCAGCGCTGGTGTTGGTGACGCCGTTCACCGTCCCCTCCACGTCCGTCTCATCCTCAGCATAGCTCAGGAGCAGGCTCTGCTGCCGGCTTGTCAGTCTCCTGTGGACCAAGGAGAGTTAGCATCGGAGGGCTTCCTCAGGCGGCTCTTTAAAGCCACTCAAGCGTGTGGGAGATTCGAGGGCCCCAACCCAGACTCTGTGCCGAGGAGCAGGGAGGGCACACCGAGCCAGGGGTAAGGAAAGAAAAGAAACTCTCCTGAATGGCTCTCACTGTGTCACTGTGGCTACGCTAAATACGGTTCTACTGCAAAAAAAAAGTTATGTGTGTGTCTGTGTGAAGCAGGTAAGAGATAATCTAATTAATCTAATTAAAAGGACGAGGACGCCATGCCTGGCCCCCCCAAGCCAAGCCAGGTGGGCCTGGCTTTGACACCCATGGCACATGGTCATGCTCAGAAGCCACCATGTGCCAGGATCTGTTTATGTCACTCTCTCCCACCAGACAGCGGGCTCCCTGAGAGCAATGACAACATCGACAACAATAACAACTATAGCAGCAACAGCTAAGTGTTTCCTCTGTCTCATTCATTTAACCCTCCTAATGCCTGAATGAGTCCCTGGGTGGTACAATGTTAACACACTCAGCTCCTAACTGAAATGTTGGAGATTCAAGCCTACCTAGAGGCGCCTTGGAAGAAATGTGTGGCCATCTACTTCTGAAAGTCAGCCACTGAAAACCCTTTGGAGCACAGTTCAACTCTTGACACATACGGGATTGCCACGAGGGGGAGCTGACTCAAAGGCAACTGGTAATGACTCAAGGAGGCTGACTTATTTTACGATGTCCTTGTTAGCAGGGAGAACTTAGGCAGGAAACACCTGACCGAAGGGAGAAGTAACAAAACCACAGAGCTCGCAGTGGCAGAGCCAGGAGGAGCCCGGGCGCCCGGCCCAGGCCTGAGCTCAGAAACCCCCGCTGGCTGCTGTCGACGGGTGAAGGTGCACAGAGACGGGATGGGCCTTGGCCTCCGCAGCACCTACTTTGGAATTCTGATCTTGATGTGGATATAGTGATCGCCGTAGCCGTAGCTGTTAATCCGGGGGATGCCTTTCCCACTCATCCGAATCTTCTGGTCTGTCTGAGTCCCGGGGGGGATCTGCAGAGGAAGGACACCTGTGGCTCTTTGGTCCCCACTGCCTGAATCACCTTCACTACACGCAGCTGCTCTTACAGTGACCCCTTGGAAAGGACTTCCAGTCAGTTTTCTAGACCATGTAGAACTGGCTAAGTCGGGGCACCCCCAAAGCAGAGCCTGCGGCAGGACTGGGGCCCAGGAGGCAAGCGTGAGGAAACACAGAGAGAGGACGGAAGGGGGAAAGCCAACTGAGGGCCAAGCTGCTGGCACAGAGGGTGGTTCCCAGACCGTCCACCACATGGAGGTTGGAGCACTTCCCCACAGCTCCTGCCTCCTCCTCCTAAGGTCACCCCAACATCCACCACCCCCTGCACTCGTGGCTCCCAAGAGGCTGGAGACAGCCCTGAGAAGTAGAATCATGAGAAGGGACAATCTTGGGGGAGGGGGCACAGGCAGAGGCAGTCTGAGGTGGCAGGAAGTGCCACTGTAGCTGCGACTAGAATCAGAGGTGGGTGGGAGAGCATGATGGTGGGGTGGAAAGAGGAGCAGAGATCTCATAATGGGCCAACTCACATCCGCTTCGCTGTGTGGTATGACACCTGAGACCCGCCAACCAAGCAGAGGAAGTGTATGCAACCAGGAATGGCTTACAGTCAAGGAGTTAGGGATTATGGCTCACACACAAGGACCGCTCTGGAATGCCCACTGCCCTCCCTCAAACCCATGCTTCTCTCTGAACCCCGACACGTCGGTCACGCACAGGGCCCAGGCTGCTGGCCCACCACGCCTGTTTCTACCAACGTAGAAGGGAGGAGACGTTCCGGCTCATCCAGCCGTGCACTCACTGTCACACTGATGGTCTCGTACAGGCCCTGGGCTCTGGCTGTCCCACCCAGGATGGCTTGAGCTACAGAGATGAAGAGGTCGGAATGGATGTCGGCACCGTCTCTCCTGAACACGGGGCTTTTCTGCACCTAGAGCCAGCAGGAGGGGTGGCTGTTACAGGCAGAGAAATCTGTCTGAGACGTCTCACCAGGCCCACACGCAGGCCTGCCCTGCTTTGTGCTTCCTTCTTCTATGCTGACGGTGTAGCGCTAAGGGAAAGAGCCACTGTCACCCAAGGCAAGGCTAGCCCAGGGCTCCAGAGGTGACATTTTATACACAGCAATGGGAAGACGGCCTACACACGCTCAGCCTCAGATCAAGCTGACAGGTTGCGAAGGGAAATGAAAAAGTAAAATTGGCTTTTGGAACATTAAAAAAAAAATTGTACTTTAGTAGAAAGCAGAGAGAAACACAGACTAACACATCTATGAAAGCAAAACGGCTTATTTTCCAGGTGGTCAGACCACCTTCGAGGCAGACTGGTGGTGCTGGAGGTCATTTCAGAGTATAAACATGGCTTTCCATGTCTCAGATATTCTCTGCCCTGCAGTGACGTCTCCTCTTCTTTTTCCTCCATTATTAAATGGAAACAGAATCTGAGTTCTCCACAAAACTCTTCTTTCTTGTTTCTGTTTATTGTTGTAGTCTGAGTGAAAGTTTACATTTCAAATTAGTTTCTCATAAAAACTTTTCTCATACAGCGTGCTTTCCGCCTTCATTTTTGGTTTCTCTGTCTAGAAGATTCACCCTCTGCATTACTGTCATCTTTCGTTTAAACCATGGAAGATTCCACATATGTAACCAGGCAAAATAAATAACACACTGTGAACCCACGATCCAGCTTAAATAAGAAAACAAAACAGGTACAGATCGAAGCCCCCTTGTCACCACCCTCCAGAGTTCACCACTGTCCTGAATTGACTATTTGTCATTCCTACGAGCACCTTAATATTTACTACATATTTGCACGTCCCTAAATAATACGTAATGTCATCTTGCACGCTGTAAAACTTTACATCAACGGTCTCCTACTACCCTGTCCTCCCACGGTCTGCTTTTCCTGCTTCTCGCTGTAACCGAGGGGTCTCTCGCTGACACTGCTCTGGAGCCTCCTGCACGACCACAGCACCGTGCACTCAGCCATCCTCTTGCTAAAGGACTCTCACAGGGCTGTCAATGCTTTGCTCTTACGAACACGGCTGCAAAGCACATCGCTGTATCTGCACCTGGTGCACTCTCGTGGGCTTTTCTCGAGTGTGAATCTAGAAGTTTAACTACTTTCTTTAATATTGCTATTATCTCAAAAATCCAACGCCACCGTCTGCCCTTTGTGTACAGCGTGTAACACTGCAAACCTTCTGCACTTACTGCCCTATCAACAATGTGATACATAAATAAAACCACAAGGAGACACAGTCTGTGTTTTTACGTGCCCAGGCTGCTAACTTGTAAACATCTTGAGGAAGGTTTTGTTCTCTCCACATCTAGCATACAACCTCAAAGGTAACAAACATTTAATAACTATATGCAGGTGGCTAATGTTCCCCTTACGGGCCCAGGGGGGAAGCCATCCTTCTGTAGTGCCCCATCTCACCCCACAGAAAGGCTCCACCGTGCCCGCTCCAACAGAGCAGGGCCCAACAGGAGCTGTGCAGAGCAGAGGACCTACCCTGAAGGTGACGAAGATCTCTCTCTTGCCCACGGGCATCCTCACGGTCTGGCCATCCTCCACTCCTGTAAGGAAGACCAAACCTTCAATCAAGAACAGCTCTTCCTGGGCTTCCAAGGTGTGTCCCACCCCATCTGTTTGCAGCCCAGGCCTCCCTGCTCGCTTCTGTTTCCTGGTAATGAGAAATAAGGCAATTAACTCCAGCAGCAGCAAATAGAACTTTCCAAAGGTGCAACATAGTCATTGATAACTGAACAAAAGCACCTTTATTTGTCTATTCAAATTCTCTGAGTGCCTGCCTGGCCCTGTGCCTCAGGGAGCTCACAATCCAGTGTGGGAGGCAGGTGCAAATCAGACAGCACTGATAAATGTGTACTAACAAACTGAGACATGTTCTTATAGAAACGTGTATCTAAGAACAGGCAAGAAGGCTCCCCTGAGGAAGCGATACTCAAGCTGGGATTTCTAAGATGAACAGAGCTGACCTGCTGAAAAGAGGATGGATAGTGAGCTTCAGACACAGGGAACAGCATATGCAAAGGTCTAGTTTAAGGATCTAAAAGAGTCAGCAAGGCTGCAGGGCAAGCGGAAGCGGGAGAACAGAGGGAGGCTGGGGAGGTAAGCAGGGCCAGAGAAGGGAGGGATGGGTTTTATCCCCATGGCAACAGCCACAGGAAGTCACAGAGAGGTGTGGAACACGGTGCCAGCTGTGACCCTTGTAGGAAGACACCCTGGGGACCAGCGCTGGCAGGGACAGCAGTGAACAGACTACTCCAGCGGCCCCAGGGCGGGGGTGGTGGTACAGGCCAGGGGCGGCAGCAGGGATGACAGAGTGTGACGGAGCAGCGGAGCCCCTTCACCATGCTGGGGCAGAGCAGGCACAGCAGGTCACCTTTTCCTGACGTTACAGGTAAAGCGCAGACTGCAAGCATAAACGATGCAAGAGAAAAATGCAACGTGATCTTAGCTCCGCCTCCAATGCTGGGCTCCAGGGCCTTGGCCAAAGCATTGGCCAGTGGCCATACCACAAAGGAAAGCCCTGGCAGTGGCTCCCTCCCAGCCTCCTGTGCATGGAGGCAGCAGGACTCACCGGCAGGCACGGGGATCACCACTCTCTTCTTCTGCTTGGCCTGTCCTGTTCCTCTGCAGACCACGCATGGGGACGTGATGATGGAGCCTCGGCCACCACACCTCCGACAGGTGGAGCGCATCACAAACGGGCCCGTGTTTATGGTTTCCTGACAAAAGGAGAAGAAAATGGGACCCTTGAATATCCAGGTAGATGCTGTGGGCCCAGGGCCATGATGTGCACAAGAAATGCTACATTAAAGACTCAGCTTTTGTATGCACAGGTGCTAAAACAACTAAGAGCCCAGATCTAGGGGCTCAAAACCCTCATCTGATCTTCTAGAACACGGCCACATCTGAATTCCAAACCACCAAGCTGATCACGAGACTGAAAAATGAGGCACCGCCTCTCTATACAGCACCCAGAACCCTCGAGAGCTGAGCAAACATGCTTTTAGAAGGTTTCTCCCCCTCTAATCACAAAAGTGATAGTTACGAAAACATAGGCAAGTCAAAAGGGGAAATGACAACCGGACGCCCACCCACCGCCCTGCCCCAGGCTAGCACCTGGCCACCAAGCCCGCTGCTGCCTGCTCTGAGGGAGGGGAGACACAGGTCCCTCCCTGTCTCTTTAGGGCCACATGGAAGAAATAGCCTGGCTGTGTTCACCAGTGACCCCTGCTCCTCACAGGTACCCTGGAAGCAATGGAGCAATAGCTCCTCCTGCGGGCACACAGTGCCCTGGTCTAGTCCCCTCCTGTACCCCCACAACACTCCCCATTCTGTCCCTCCTGAGTGGTTGAAGGCATCAAACACAGCTGGGGTTCGAAGGGGCTCAGGGCTAGCCTTACGGTGGGGGCTGCTCTGTTGAAGACAGATGTGAACAGGAAGGACGGATAAAGATGGACTGTGAGTTAAACACACAGGAATTGCATTCAGGTTGACAGGTGAGAACAGAGCTGACGCACGTTCTCCCTAATGCTCCCCCTGCCTGGAACTCCTCTCCCTCATTCTCCCCCACCTTACCGTCCCCGCTCCAATCCTTCAGGCCTGCCCAGCTCCCAGCCCCTCCCAGAGCTGCTGAGTCTGATGGCCTGTAGCCGCGCCACCAAACTCTCACTTGGCATTTGGAAACTGGCAACCTTTTCATTTAATGTCTTCACACATTGTTTTTTTAAATTATCAAACATATGCTTGTTATGGCATTGCAAAGGATACAGAGACATATAAAAAAAATATTAATCTCCCTCTCACCCTGACTCTCAAGGACAGTAAAAACCTGCAAAAGCCGGAACCTGTGTAAGGTGGAAACCTGTTCTAGTGGAAAATATTTTCCACTAAAAGAAGCAACAGAAAAGTGGTAAGACTGCACCCTATCAAAGGTGGAAAACTTTCAAGACCTGGAAAAACATGGCAGTCCCACCGAGTTCCGGCTCTCACAGGTTTCACTGTAACCAACTCTTAGCAGTTAATAGTTTGAGGTATTCTTTCCACAA